TGGAGCAATGCACCCAAGAACGTCAGAACACAAAGTGGAGGTTCAAGTTGATCACAAATGTTACTATTTTTGCTGCACTTCTGAAAAACATTCCAATGGGATGTCCAGACTCTGTGTTGCCTGAACCTTTACTGAAAAACCATTCAGTAAACTGTCTTTTATCGGACAAAGATAAACAACCATACAAAGATCATCTTTGTCTTTTCCGTGCGTTAACAATGTATTTGCATGGTCAAAGTAACCTCGATGCTCATACATCTCAGCTGTTTACAGAGTTTATATCAAAATCTGGATACAATCCGAAGAATTTTCGTGGAGTGTCAATCGATGATTTACCTGTTGTAGAGGGAATAGTTGAACGAAACACATTCATTTACAATTTTGATTTTCAAGAAGGAGAATATGTTGGAGAATTAGCCAGGCGAAGTATTGGAAAATTTGAAAAAACGGTGCAATTGCTAAGATTCAACAACCATATTATTCACACGAATGATATTGATTCCTTCTTCAAGTGTTTTCGATGTCCTAGTTGTGACTGTTTCTTCAACAGATCAGACAACTTCAACCGACATCTTCTAACTTGTAAAGATCGAGTGCGACATATTTATCCCAAAAATGCGTACACACTACGGGAGACAATATTCGAGAAATTGGATGGCTTCAACATTCCCTACACTGAAGATCAGAAATTGTTTAGCAATGTTGCAGTTTTTGACTTCGAATCGATTTGTGTTCCCACAGAAGAATTGAATGCAACTGAAACAACTATTTGGATTGGAAAACATGTCCCTATTTTCGTATCAACATCTTCAAATCTGCAAGATGCTCCAATTTTCTTGTGCAAGATGCTCCAATCCAGAACTTTTAATAATTGCTTTTGTTTCCAGCTTGGAAATTCTGGCTGAAAAAAGTAAACTACAAATGAGAACCAAGTTTCAAGAAATCAAAAACACTGTCAATGATCGAGTCAAAAAGATCTTTGATAAGCTTAATGCTAGAACTGTAACTAAAAGACTAGAAGTCTTCGATTATGAAGATGAATGTGTTGAGGATGGCGACGAAGATGACATGTCAACACAATTCTTGAGAATTCAAAAAAATCAGTTGATCGACTTGAAACAGCATTTAGAGCGCTATGTTAATACCTTACCGGTGTTTGGTTTCAATAGCGACAGATACGATCTGAAACTTATCAAATCTTATTTGATTCCATACCTTATATGTGATAAAGAACTCGAACCAACAGTCATTAAAAAAGCAAATGACTTCATATCATTCAAATTTGGAGATGTTCAGTTTTTGGACATAATGAAATTTCTTGGAGGGGCAACAACATTGGATTCGTTTCTGAAAGCCTATAAAGCAAGTGAGACCAAAGGTTTTTTCCCTTACGAATGGTTTGACAGTCCAGACAAGCTTGACTGTACGGAGTTACCTCCATATGAAACCTTTTTCAGCAAACTGAGAAACCACAACCCTCTCGAGAAAGATTTCAACGATTACCAAAAAGTGGTTAATGGAGGACTTGATCAACAAAGTGCACTGAAAAACCTGCGTATTCAATCAATTCCACCAACAGGTTTTGAAAATTACTCGTATTTGAAAAACATCTGGGAACAACAAAGCATGATTACTTTCAAAGACTTCTTACGATGGTACAACAACAAAGATGTTGTTCCTACTCTTGAAGCTATGCAAAAAATGATAGAGTTTTACCATGATAAGGGAATTGACATGCTGAAACTGGGATGCACGCTTCCAAATCTTGCAAATTTGAAGGAGATAAAGATTTATGTGAGAAAATTAGAGAAGACATGACTGGTGGTCCATCAATAGTTTTTACGCGAAAAGCTGTTGTCGATCAAACTTATATTCGTAACTCGTCAAATATTTGTAAGACAATTGTTGGAATTGACGCTAGCCAATTATATCCATTCTCAATGTGTCAAAAGATGCCAACCGGACTTTACACAAGATGGGAGTATGACTCTGAAACTGATCGTTTTAAAGCTAGAAATAACAGAACAAGAAATTTCGAGAACATGGTTATGTCCTTTTATCAAGAATTGAGACCAGAGTGTAAAATTCAGAGTTTTTACACAACCGGAAAGCAGAAAAAAATTGACTGTTTTCATGTTGATGGTTACTGTGATCACTGTAAAACAGTATTTGAAGCTATGGGTTGCTACTATCATTTCTGCTCATGTCAAGAAACCCGTCCATCGTTGTCAGAACAAGATATTGAAAGGGGAAATAAGAAGCGAGAAATGGATGAGTTGAGACGAGAGTACATAAAAGAAAGAGGTTACAAAATTCAGGAAATGTGGGAGTGTGAGTGGTGGAAGCATTTCAAAACAGATTCGTCAATCAAGAATCATGTCAAGACAAATTTTCCTTACAAAAGACCTCTGTCTACTGATTCTTTACTTGAAAAAATAAAGAACAGATCTCTTTTTGGTTATGTGCAATGCGATTTAATAGTTCCTGGCGAGTTGAAGCCTACATTTTCAAATTTTCCTCCAATTTTCAAAAACATTGACGTCTCCCGAAACGATATTGGAGAATACATGAAAAACTATGCCGAAGAAAACGATTTGCTGAAAAACCCACAACGAATGTTGATTTCCAGTTTTAAATTAGAAAATGGTACAATCATCACACCTCTTCTTAACTTCTATCTAAGTCTTGGACTTCGATGTACAAAAATTTATCGATTTGTTGAGTACACACCTAGGAAATGTTTCAACAAATTTGTTCAATCTGTTGCTGATGCTCGACGAGAAGGAGTCGAGAATCCACATTCTGGAGTTGTTGCTGAGACGATGAAGCTTCTCGGTAACAGTTCGTACGGTTATCAAATTATGGACAGATCCAGACACACGATAACCAAATATCTCGGCGATGAGAAGACACACAAAGCAATAAATGAGAAGTTTTTCAAGCGATTGAATGTTGTGATAAAGGACTTATAAGAAGTAGAACTATTGAAGTCAACAATTAAACATAGAGAACCAATTATTGTAGGTTTTTTCATTCTTCAATACGCCAAACTTAGAATGTTGGAGTTATACTACAACTTCTTCCACAAGTATTGCGATGAGAATAAATTCGAGGAGTTGGAGATGGATACGGACTCTTTGTATCTAGCATTAGCAGAAAATAACCTGGACGATTGTATATTACCAGAGAAGAAAGCTCAGTGGACACTTATTCGTCGAAATGAATGTAGAAATGACTTTATAGCTGATGCAGATAAGAATTTTTTTCCACGTACATGCTTCGCTGTTCACAAAAAACATGACAAACGAGAACCTGGATTATTCAAAGAAGAATGTCGCTGTACTGAAATGTTGTGCCTGTGCAGCAAGACGTATTGCTGCTATGATAGTAAGAGCGACAAATTCAAATTTAGCAGCAAAGGGCTCAACAAAAGAACGCTAGAAGACACTGGGGATAGACCAATGTCTAAATACAGACGAGTTCTTGACGAAGCTGTAAATTTGAAGTCGACCAATCGCGGATTCAAAACCTCCAACCATTTAGTTGGAACATATGAACAAACTAAAAAAGGACTCAGAGCCTTTTACCCAAAAAGGGAGGTACTTGATGATGGAATACATACTAAGCCATTGTATTTGTAAGTTTAACCTATAAACTGTAGTAAAACTTCATACCATTCAATGATTTATATGTTATTCAACTTTTCAGCTGTAATATCACAATTTACAGTTATTTAATTTTTTTCTGAAAAACTTTATTTCTTCTTTGAAGCTTCAGTTAGGTTTCAGCATAGTTTCAGACACTTTCAATTTAAACTCTAATGGTTTAAAAAAAAATAAAAATCATATCTTAATACAATGAAAAAATCTAAAACCTATCGCATTGGTGTAGAGAATCTTAAAAAATGGTAAGATCGGGCGCGAAAAATTTTTCTGAAACTTACTATCTGAAACCTTACCATCTTAATACATGGTAAACCTATTCCCTATCTTAATACATAGGAAATCTATTCCCTATCTTAATACATAGCCTGGTGACTGGATACTAATACATAGCCTGGTGACCGGATACTCTATAGCCTATCTTAATACATGGGGGTCACCAGGCACCCCCCCTGATCACCTCACTCATATACTACTAAAGTCTTAAGTGAATTGGCAAAAAAATGTTTTGAAAAACCATAAGTAAAAGTCTAGTGGGAGTTAAAACGCGTGCTCAGCAAAGTTTTCCTTGAAACACACAGATATGATACTCTTGATTGTGTGAATGTTTAAACGCTCAAGTTATTGAACTCGAATTTTTTGACAATTTTAGTTTGAAATTTTTTTAAATTTTATTTTATCAAAAGTGAAGCATTTAATACACGGTAACATTTTGGATTTTCTATTTTATAAAACCCTCTTCTCGCGCTATGTAAAGTACAAGGTGATTTGTTTTGAGTCCGCTAAGGCATTAATAAGAGCAAATTGCTTGGTCTAATTCAGTTTGGAACAGTTTAGTTTGACGCTTACGCTTTAATAGCGTGAAATACATCGAGCATTAATTATTTCCGTAACTTTACAAAAAATGATCACATGTAAAATATTTCTACAAGTTTGAGCATAAATACCTAGCAGATGATAATTAAAAATTCCAGTCATAAATGGCAAAATAAAAAGTCGAAACTGACCAACCTGAGCAGAATTATTCCGTCGTTCTCTTCGAAAGTCGGAACAAAAAAAGATGGTTTTGAAAAATGTTTTGCGAGCGATTTGAAATCACATTCTTCCATTGTTGGACAGAAAAAACTACGCGAGAGAAAATTATTTCAAGGAAAAACCTCTCAAAATTGAATAGCCAATGTTTTCAACTTTCTACAGGGCAGCGGCTTAGATTTCTGAGAATAAATCGAGGTTCGCCTTTGAGATGATTCACTGATAAGTTTTCGCCAAGGATGATTCAAAAATAAACCCGAAAGAATTTTTTTCTTAATTTGTCCAAGAAACCTCTGAGTTGCTAACCTTTTTGCTGCTTTGAAGTGAGCACAATTCAAGGTGGCAGAAGTCTGTAATATTTTGATCAAAACCCCTAATAAGATAATTGATTATAACCAAACATCTTAAGACCATAGATGAAATACTCTTGTCTGGTGGAATGCAGCTTCAAAGTTAAAAATTCCCTTTGCGTACGGGGTTTGTCCTGCAATCTCAGCGAACAAAATATATCAAAAGCACTTCTTTCAATTTTAAAATAGTTTAATTTACTTGAACCTGTTGGCGAATGACAAGGAGACGTTTCCGATCCAGACAATGAGCTAAGCCGAATGCAAAAACGGCAAAAATATGCAAATTTTTCAAATTGTCACTGACCACCGCCGAATTTTATATTTCAAGAGTTTCGTTATGAAAGAAACAAAATATTGCTTCATTTAATTCATATTTTGGTTTCGGTCCTTCGCGCATGAGAATAGCCCCCTCTCGATCAGACCCGTCCCCTTGTCATTCATCAACCTGTTTTTCTAACGGAATATAAAAACGCTAAACTTTTATATTTAAGCAGCAAGTATTAACTTGTTACGTTTTGACAGCTTTTTTCTAAATCTGAGAAATTTCATAGAAAAACTCACCAAAGTTTACCAAAAGCGACTTTTTAAGTTTCACTTGAGACAATTTTTATATCAGCTGTCATTAAACTTAAGCAACCGATTATCAAAAAATTGCTTGGACTTTTTGAAAGAATCTTACCAGCAAATAGATTGAAAAACTGATTAAGCAAACAGAAGACACTTGTTTGATTAATCTATTGAATTTATAAAATGTTCTAGAGATTAATTAAACTTCTGAGATAAAAAATCCCAGTCCAACAGTTCTAGATAAGTTCCGATTAAAATTGTTGCTAGTCACAGTTTTCAGATAATGCAGTTTACGATAAACAGAATCTTCAAAAACGCAAAAAGCTCATTAGTGATAATGGATGTTTTGCTATTTAAAGGTTTTCATCCGGTTCCAACCTTTTTCATCAGTATAGGTATTTTTTTAATCTCATTATAAAAAAGGTCTGAACACAAATAGAACGAGATAAAATTTCCCAGAAACTTCACCAGAATAGTGGGGGTAATTTTCCTTGCTGCGATTGCACGCCATTATTTGTTTTCATTGTTATACAAAGTAATATTAAGACAATTATGCTGTTGCCTATTTTTTCATTGTTTCAAATTGTATGACTGATTGTTTACCAGAAAGTATTCTGAGAATCTGGGCGACAAATTTGATTCATGGTTTTAATCATATCACTAAATGTTCTCAGGCTAGCAATTAGAAAAATAAATACATATTTGCATATTTTATAAGCCAGTCTTAAGCCCGAGAAAACGTCATTAGACCATATAGTTTGTTTTTAAACGTCTCTGAGTGGATTTTTCTGAATTTACAAAATTTCAAAAAAGTAGAAAAGTCATGCGGCAAAAAGCCGACATTCAAAAAAAACGAAGGAGATAGTTATTACACTGTTGACAAGCAGTAGAAGTTTGAACAAAAAACTTAGAAAACTATGGATTTGAATTTTTACCATAAAAACTACCAACAAATCTGTTGAATTGAGATTCATTAAATTATTTTTCCTCTTTCCAAATTTCCCAAAAAACTGTATATTGCCAAAAAAACTATTTTTGTATAACTTTTAGTGGATGAGGTAGTTATTATCATTTCTTTCAAAACAATCTGATATTGGAATTAGGCAAAGAATATACTTTTTGTAACTCGCATGATTGATAAACGTTTAGTTTTTTGTGAAGTTTTGTACTTAATTGCCTAGCTTCTGTTCATTTTTTGTTTAATTTGGCAAGATGATTGTGTAAAATTGTGTTTTCAAGTAATGCCACAAAATTTTCAGTTCTTACTATTTCATTTGTGGTTTGAAATAATTCGTGAAAATTATCAATAGCACTGTATATATGATAACACTCAGAGTATTGTTTCAGTGTTTCAGTTTTTTTTCTGTAAAGTATGATTAGATGGAATTGTTTAATAGTTTGATCCCTATGTTCAATTCTAGTAAGATTGGTTGATTCATAAAGTAACACTCCATGTTACATAGCAGCTTGAGCATAAAATGTAATTAGAAGCAAAACTGCGCTTCGCAAACCCTAGTATTGAAATGACTAAAGCAGTTCTTTAAAAAGAAATAAGAAAAAAAGAGAAATAACCCCAAATCTGTAAAAAAAAATTTCGATAAGCCGGATTCGAACCTTCAACCTCGAGATGTGGAGTCTCGCATTTTTGCATTAGTGCCACGGTCTCTTGAAATGTTATCTAGCCACCAGCTATAGATGCTAACAAATTTCCAATGCTCTGCAGCAAAAATGCCGCCAGTTATAAATAAAACTAGTTCTAAGCACGACGTTGGAACTCCGACCAGTAGTTTTGTGGTTGAAAATTCTTCCAACTGATCCATTGTTGCTCATAGATGACAAATAAAACAAAAAACAGATTCTATGAAATTTCCAATGCTACAGATCATGATTATTGCAAAAATGCTACTAAATGAGCGTTTGTTTAGCAAGGTTGAAAAAGTAATCATACTTAAACAATACTGAGTTAGGTTTGAGATGTAACTCATAGAGTAATTTCGGATAGGGTACACCGTCTGCTCGTCACGCCATCTTATTTTCGGCCGGATAGATTCGTGCAACTTCTTAGTCTAATACCGGTCCTAATCTTACTCTTATCTCTACTAGTCTCAGGGTGTTTAACTAGTCTCTGCTAGGCTCAATAGATCTAGAGTATACTGGCTTATTGCGATTGCTGAAGTTCTCTTGGAGAGGCAACTGATTTCTAAGTTAAATTCAAATCTCTCTGGTGCTGAAAGTACAAGTAATTTCAGCACTTACAAATAAGTGGGTTGTTAGTTAGATGGAATATGATTGGTTAATAATAAATATTTTATAGTGATAAAATATTTAATTTATCCAATAATAAAATGTAGTTTAGATCACGTTCCATTACTTTTGCTAGGTGGCGTCCCTCATGCTTGAAGGACCGAAAGCTTGAAATTTATTTTAGCTTACTTTCAGCCAATCAGAATTGAGTATTCAAAATCTCAAAGTAAATCGTGAAAATCTCGAAGTAAGAAAATAAATCCAGGCCATTAGTGTTAATACTGACCGATTGGATAATAAGCAGATGAGTTTTCAAGACTGAAAAACTCTTATGAACTTGAACTCATAAATCTTGATGATTATCTGACTAGTATTGCGGTTATAACCCGCAATTTGTAATATTTTTGATTATTTTTCACTAATTTAAAACATTTTCTGTTAATATTGACTTCGATTGTGTGAGAAAGGCATTTAGCCAATAGGAACGCTTAGCGATTTTGATTGGTTGAAACTTTTCAAGCATTCGGTCCTTCAAGCATGAGAACCCTCCCCCTTTTGCCAGCTTGGAAGTGTAATAAACTTGTATCATTTGCTATTTCGTTGATGTTTTCTTAATTATTGTTTCAAAGCTCGGGTTAACCAATGCGCTTAAAAGATTGTGGCATGCAGATAATTTCCCAGTGTCAAATAGACTAATATTTTTAGAAAATAATTTGAAAAATTTGCGGTTTAAATTCATCAGAGGATTTAAATTTATAGTGAAAAAGCATTTTTAGGAAGGTTGCCGGTCGGAGAGTTACCTTGGTGCCGAATTAAAAATACCTCATTGTTTAGAGCCTGACATTGGGGGAGGGAGGAGGGACCGAGGAAGAAAAAAAATTTGTCCCCTCGTCATTCAAAGGGTCCCCCTTTAGAATTACCTTGCAAAATCCATTTCCGGCCAATCGATCATGGAAATTTTTTCTAATGACGCCCTTGTTGCTAATACTCCACTAAAATGAAGAAGAGACCGCGCGTCGGAATGCGCATTTTATTTTTAAATCAAATAAAACCTTCCGGAAATGGCCAAAAATTAGGAATCCTTTTGAAATTGGTTTTTGGGTCTTTTCATTATAAAACCATTTTTCTATTGCATCCATATTTTGTTAGTACTGAACTAAGAGCTGCATAGATTTACGAATTATTTAAAAAAACATACACATACTATTTCACTGTGCACTTTTTATGTTTAATTCGATATATTCACGGGGCTATAAATTCACTAAGGTACTGGCAGGGGCGGATCTATGATTTTCTCGAGGAGGGGGGGGGTTCATTTTCGAAAAAATTCGAAATTTTTGTCGACTTTTTTTTTCGGTCAAATTGATTTTCCGAGCTCTCCCAAAGCACTGAAAAACCCTGTTTCTGTCAAAGTTTCTGCGATGCAGGCAAAATTTTGAAAAAACAGGCCAAAAAAGGCGTTTTTAAGCAATTGTTGGAAAATTTTGTCCAAAAAATTGTGTTTAATCGGCGCGCGCTTCCCCCTCAAAATTAATATATATTGGCGCTAATTGCGCCTCTAGAAAAATTTTAGGGTCCGTCACCAAAAATATATATTTCAAAATAGTACAGAGTGGGGACTCTTTGGGTAGGCAGAGGGTCGAATCCCTGAAAATGGGAAGCTTGCGCCCGCCCCCCAAATCCGCTGGTGGTACTGGGGTACCGGAGGGGGGGGGGGGGGGGGGGGGGCTATATCGTGAAAAAAACCCTGATTTTCTTGTTCACGCTCTCTGGTTGTAACAAGAAGTGACTCAACCACTTATACTTGAGTGACTGTAAAAATAAAAGTCATCTTAAAATCACTAGTTAATAAATTCTGTAGATATAAAACGAGAAAGATCAAATTACAAAATGTTCGAGAAAAAACTATATTTTACTTACTTGTACTAGCTTAAGAATACCTGTTTCCTGTTATTGAATGATGAACTAAATCTTTTTTTAATTTTCAAATTCAAAATTTGACGGTGAAAAATTAAAATGACTAAAATTTCAAAAAGCAATTATCTACTGAACAAAAGAGAAGCTCTCGTTTAAATAGATGGCGGTTTTTAAAATAACTTCAAATCTTTTGATGCTATTAATTAAACTTCAGTGATATTGGACTAAAAACGCCTCTTTTTAAAATTCAGCTTCATTCTGAAAAAGCAAGCACAAAAAGTCAAAAAGTCTTTAATTCAGATTTAAACTTAAATCTGACCGACGCCATTTTGGCAAATGAAAGAACTAATTTTCTTAGCATACCCATTTCAAAGAAGCAAAAATAACTATGCATCTTTTTCTTAGGTCAATCAAATGGATTTTTCATGCTCTTACAAAGCACTACAGTAACTCCATTTGAGGAAAAACTTCGGCGTCAATCTAATTCATTTAAAAAAGTTGTCAAAAACTCTTTCTTACAAAAAACTTTTTTATAATTTGACCAAAAAAACGCATTTTTTGGCAATCTTGTTGCAGAAAACTGGTACTTTTATTGCCGAAGTCGCATTTAGAAAGCAGTACCGTAAGTGGCCTCAATCCGCCTCCTAAATCAACTGACCGTTGAAACGTCAATCAAAAAAAATCTTTTTTATCAGGCAGTTGAAACACGCCATGTTAAAGCAGTTGACGAGATCGAATATATTTTGTCTACAAGAGACAACACCAAAAAGGACTGCACGACCAGAAAATTTGTAAAAAGCAAAAAATGAATTTTCAGTTGACCAAATACAGCATAAATCGAGAAATAATTGTATCTTCATACACTCACAATGTTTACCCAACCTGTGTAAACCAATTTAATTAATGAAAACAAAATTGCCACAACAAATGTGAAAACCAGTTTCAGAAATATTTGAAACTGTGCAAGTTAGTTCAATGGGGATATAGATGGATTTTCAAAAAAAACTTCATCGACTGACTTGATTTAGGCCGACCAAATATTTTTTCAAATTCCCACGGATTTGTGAAAAAAACTTTGTTTTCCAAAAACGTTCGCTGGTAATTTAGTACTTTTTATAACAAAGTCTGAAGCAA